TGATATCTCCAAGGCTTCTTGTTGGCTGCTGCTTGATTTGCAGGGTGAATGAGTCATGTTGATTGTTCTTCGTCGGGTCACCAATTTGCCAGACTTCGTGGCAAGGTAAATAATGAGACTGTAGATGGTTAAGGTCTGTTTATTACTTTAATTGCTGGTGCTTATATACTAAGAAGATGCGTGAGATTTTCAGATTTAGCTATCCTAACAAACGTGCAACAATTAACATGTATGTCTTATCTCTATCGTATCTAAGTAATGTAGCGACGTGATAGTGCCGCTACAAAACGTATTGACACAACATCGGCATACTGTATTCCATTGATGTTCCTAATTATTCATTAGTTGAAGGTCGGCCTCATTGTGACTAGCTGCCTTAGTTTGCTCATGTTTCACGATGCAAATATATACCGTACTATAACAACTTCAATTATTTCCAAGTTCATAAAAGATCGATTCCCAGCCCTATTAAGGTAACTATAATGGGGACTGTGTAACATAGGGATGAACAGTTACAAGAGAGGGAACCCGAGCGCCGCCACTAGAGCCGGCCCAATTTTTGTAGAATCGTAAACCCGTAAGATTTAGTGAACGGTCAGAGTTTTAACGAGGGCCTGTGTCCTCCGTCCAACCCTCCTCGCCGACGAAATATAGTTTTACGACAATCGCTAGTGAGCCATTAAACAATTTTCACCGGTGCGGCTCGCGCCCTCTGACTACAATGTTTATGCTTTACAGCCTCGCTCTGTGTTCCATAATGGGATCTATATGCATTTAGGTTGGACGATCTTATCGGATACGTTTTACAATCTAGTGGCATGGATTAGCAATTAAGTTTACTTTATAGCTATATGTTTCACAATAACAAGTTAACAAATTTTGGTCGATAAACAAAGTTCTTGTTTTCAATCAAGAGAAGCCACAAAACTACGTATTAACCAGAAACAAATTTATCTCCGAAAATAATATCACATTTCAAACTTACGAACAATGTTACGAATATAACTATTACCACATAAACCTTTCCATTTAGAACTTCTTGTTTCTACGAGCTACTGGCTATATTCAGTACAAAACTATCTTAGTTATACGATAATTCAAACATATTTGACTATTAAATTAATTTGTACTACATAGTATTCGAGAGTAGGAGTGTTGGAGCGAGCGAGAATTAATTAAGTGCCAGTATTATATTGGTCTTAAAACGGACTGCTCATATTGCCAATATGCGGCAACACATGAAACTTGTTTTAAATTTTCATCAAGTTCAATTTACATAAGAGATTTTGTCATCAAAATTTTCAATCGAATTTTAACCTTAAATTTTCATGTACGAAGCTGTTTATTTCCATGCATACCAAATAGTTACATAAAAGGTCACGCCTCACGTGTGCACACTTATTTAACACAAAAGCTTATCACTTAATGCAGCCAGCGCAGATGAAGACAATAAGTATGTGAGTCGTCGCAACAAAACGGTGCGAGATAGGATCCTCTCGTCTGTAACAATACGCTCTGTGTCACTCCAATCTCAAAAGGATATTCGAATGTATTGAACTCGGGAGAATTTCACTCACATTGAACCATTCAAGGGAATCTCACGGAAATTCCTCGTGAAATTTTCACATAATCCAACGCAGTACGAGGACAACCCCCATTGTTTAGAAAAAATGCGGATATTCAGCTGGGACCCTCCGCAAAATTCTTATAGAGTAACTGGGCCGAGCCGCTGGATTTTCGTTAAATGTTAAAAATGGAATCCGCTCAGAGAAATGGAATCTGAGATTATGATTTGAGGACACGTCTGATGGGGTAGTGAGGGCGCGGTCGTACCCCTACAGGCTCGTATCGCGACACGCGTCTGTGCGCAGCCAATGTGCGGAGTAGCAACGTGTTTACAAGCTGTGCGACAAACAAACGTCCCCGGCAGAGCTTCGTTTAATTAAGATAACTTTCCCACTCACATTAATGCGCATTAACTCGACGAATGTCGGCCACAATTAAAGTAACGCCCTAAACTTGAGGGCGATAAAATAAAGTTAGCGCATGAGACGCTTGACATTTTCAACGAAACTGACGGCGATACAAGCAGATTTTATATGCTTTACCGTTAAAAATAAGTGTAGGAAATTCAAAGTTCACACAATCATAATAAAATTTAACACCTGGAGTTCAGTGTTGTTGCCACAGCTTGAATGTACAATCATGGGGTTGTTTTAGAATATAGATAGGCCAAACTTAGTCCAAACATAAAGTTGAAAGAAGCTTGGTTAAATAGGCTAGGCCAGGCCAATAGCAGTGATCAAATAGACGCAGAATAGGCACATAGCAATATAAAAAACACTGATTCACTTCAAAGAGGTATCGAGCAGCTTAATGATATAGGGTTTTTTAGTCAGTAAGAGTCCACTCACAGACACTCCCTCTCACCTTACGCTGAGCGAAAAAGCAACTAAATGATTTTCCCCTCAACAAAAGCAAATAGAAAAGTATGATATTATAGATGAATATAAAATACCTGCGAATGTTTTTAAAAGTATATTTATATATTCTATTACCTTTGGTCACTGAACTTGGAACTACGTTAACCATTTCAGCTTAAACGCCAATAAAACTAACATCCAGACACCATGGCGAGCTGATGAATGAATTTAAAACAAAAAGTAATTCTTGGTACAACAAGCGTTCGCTGGCAGCACTTTGTCGAGGAATTTCTTTGTGAGAGTCTGCCACAACAATAGCACTTCATTCAAACATTATTTTCTCATACATTTTGTTGCGGGATAGTCCTGCCAACAATTGCTGGCTATTCACGATTCGTTACTGAACATCCTCACAAGTTTATCCAGCAGAAAGAGATAAAGGACTATATACTATAATACGACAGCAATAACGATAATTTTACCTAAAACCCGATTTATACTTGTACATCTGTTCGTAAAATGACGTTTATGAACGTACCACAGGTAACTCAAAGTTATTTAACGTGTCGCGTTTTGTTTTTTTGGCAGAATGTAAAATACTGTAGTCTGTAATCGTTTTATAATGGCTGCGGAATGGACGACGTTAAAACAATTATTTCGGAAATGTTTTTCGTGTGGAATGTTTTTTTTCTTTATTCAGTATTCTAGGTATTATGTACATTCGGTTTCGATTTTTAATTGAAGTCAAGAAGTCAGATGTGTGTCTCTGGAGCAAGGAGTCTCCAGTTTAGTATTCACTTTGGTATTTTTTTCATTCGGGTTATATGTGCCTAAAGCACATACATATTTCTTTAACATTCCTAAAAATGGCATGGCTGCTTAATATTGTGTATTTAGTTTTTCTTTAGGTGAAAAAGAATTTATAATTACGAGTTTCTACATAAAACATTGCTGTATCAGCACTGATTTCGACTTATCAGCTTTATGAAAGGTAATACATAATAAATCGAAACAACAAACTAGTAACATAGTTACATTATATAGCATTATACATTTATGATGATATATAGAAATATTTAAGTAGGTATCTATGTGTTCGTCGGGTCAGCTAGATAATAAAAGACAAAATGATCTAAATATAAAAGCACATTACTTACAAAGCAAAACTAATTGAATGAAACGGCAATAACGTCACATTTAAAATGACAAGGACGGAAAAATATCGGATCTTGAAATTACTAGTATGTTACTATTCTTAAGTCTTTAAGTAATGCGGCTAGTATCGTGTCCTCTTTCTAAATTCAAATTATGTCCGCCTTTAGAACAATTAAAAAAAACATATGAAACTTCAATGATGTCACGCCCAAAATGACAAAGACAGAAAATGTTGTGTTCTCTTTCTAAATCCAAATTATGGCCGCCTTTGAAACAATTAAAAAAAACATATGAAACTTTAATGATGTCACGCCCAAAATGACAAAGACAGAAAATGTCGTGTTCTCTTTCTAAATCCAAATTATGGCCGCCTTTGAAACAATTAAAAAAAACATATGACACGTCAATGACGTCACGCCCAAAATGACAAAGACAGAAAATGTCGTGTTCTCTTTCTAAATCCTAATTATGGCCGCCTTTAGAACGATGCAAAACCAAAACAAATGACACGTCAATGACGTCACGCTCAAAATGACAAGAACATAACAATATTGTGTTCTCTTTCTAAATACAAATTATGGCCGCCTTTAGAACGATGCAAAACCAAAACAAATGACACGTCAATGACGTCACGCTCAAAATGACAAGAACATAACAATATTGTGTTCTCTTTCTAAATCCAAATTATGGCCGCCTTTGGAACAATGCAAAACAAAAACAAATGACACGTCAATGACGTCACGCCCAAAATAACAAAGACAGAAAATATTGTGTTCTTTTTCTAAATCCAAATTATGACCGCCTTTTGAACAAAATAAAATGAGGCATCAATGACTACCAACTTGACCCTCTTAATGACAAGGATAGAAATATTTGTTGTTCTTTTTTTAAATCCAAATATTATATTTAATCGAGAATTTGTCAGTGGTATTTTGTTGTCTTTATTTAAAAAAATACTGAAGACATCTGAACGAAATTTGGCATAGAAACAATTTTTAGTCTGAAAACAGGCTGCTTTGACTTTCGAATTACGGGTGAAGCTGCTGACTGAAGATAGGTTAAAATTATTATCTGAGGTTTTATGTTCTTACCAATATAGGTATATTATGTAGTTAAAAAACCTTTTTACAAATACAAACTCTTTTTAAAAATGATACGTAAGTATCTCATAACCGAATATCTTAAAGATATCGTGCCTCTTAAACGCACTTATCAGTGCAAGGTCAATAATGTACCGGAGATGAGGACGGTGTGGTTCTTAATCAGTAGGATGATCTCCGGCCGCCATTACCGCGGGTCTGCGGACGGCGAGTAAGGGTAGCTCGCCACCCGACCAGAACCAGACCCGAGCGTACGGCGCGTTGCGTTCCGCGCGCGCCTAAAGAGCCAATAGACTTCCACAGACGGGGCCCTATAGGGCTCATGTTCAGCCGGGGTTGCGGGGTAAGCGCAATGAGGCACCGCTACCGGCCAGAGCGGGAGAAGGAACGAGGGGAGTTTTTAGTCAGTAAGAGTCTGACACTCTCTCTCGCCTTACCCTTGGCGAACAAAGTCAATTGATGACTTAATGCTTAAAAAAAATACTAAACAGTATATATTTAATAATTAGGTACCTACATGTAAGTCTTTGACATTGTATTTCGGTTTCGAGTCCCACACAAAACAACTCTTTGTACCTATGATCAACGAATTGTTGTTCCGGGTCTGGCCGTATGTGTATGTGAAATTGTAGGTATATTTGTAAATACACCCACCACACAGGAGATAATACAAGTGTGGAAAAACGTTGAAAAAAAAATTGTGACAAGTCTTGACTGACTTTTTTTCTTCGACCACGCAGACAAATCCTCTGGCTTTAAGCTAGCAATAACACAATAAGTTCACATGTAATTACAACAAGACCCTTAAAGTCTTATTACGTTATAATTAAGAATTGTAATTAATAAAACAGACTTATCTCTATTCAGAGTTCTGAAGTTTGGATTAAACAAGTAATTATATCTTAAATATTATGGCGCTAATATAATTCAAACATTGTTTTAAATGTGAGTCTTAAATCACATGAAGTTATGCTGGAGAGAGTTTGTGATAAATACGTGTTTTATTTATTTAAAAAGAATATATAATTATAGTCTCTGTATTTTTAACAATAAAAAAGAATTAGAAAGAAACTTCATCGTCTGGGTGACCGAAAAAGTAGCAATAAAGAAAATTTGGAATAATTAACAACGAAAATTATTATTAGAGTACATCTACATATACTAATATTATAAAGAGGTAAAATTTGTAAGTTTTTATGTTTGTAAGTTTGTATGGAGGGGGCAATCTTTGGAACCACTCACTGGTCGGATTGCTAAAATTCTTTCACATGTAGATAGCTACAATGTTCCTGAGTGCTATAGGCTATACCTAGAGCCGAGCAGCGGGTCAAACCGCGCGGGAGTATCTAGTTACTTAATAATTTTCCGTTCAAATATATTACACACAGAGGTATACGTAATAATTAGTTAATTTTAACTGGATTATTGTGACAAGAGTGAAGTCTAATATAAATATTTTATTCATAAAAGTAATACCACAACCAGTCTTTACTTATGTGTAATTTACACAAAGTTTAGTGTTAGCAACACATTTCATTAGAAACTCCAATAGTAAACAAAACGTAAACTAAATTTCGTTTTGTAAAGAAAACACAACACCACGTAATGTAAACAAGCAATTGCTGAGCATTGACATTCGTATCTTAAAACTGCCTTCCAAGGAAAACTCGACAAGGTCCCGCGAGTGAGAACTCCTCGATTTACCTAAATAATGTCGGACGTGATAAAGTCAAAACGACCCCCTACTTCCTCAGTTGACTGAAGCAATTTGCACAGTCTGATAAGCTCCACACTCCTCCTTTTTTATCTTTCACCATACAAAATACAACTTAAAATTTTTCTCCGCCGTAATACTAAACATTAAGTATAATTCTCCTGACGAAACAAACGACATCCAGGGAAATGATAAAATAGTAAATTATGTGGAGGGCTGAACACCTGCATAATGTCCCCGTCAATCATACAGGTGCGTGAAATTGAATCTCATGAGCGCAAATCACACAACCCTCTATTACCATACGCGATGGTGTCACTCACCTTAACAAAAACTAACAATGCAAAACAAACCATATTCCTGACAGCACAAAGTCTAATTTTTATTTACAAAACAAATTTTCACTGTATGATAAACGGACCATATTCGCTCGTAATATATTTCATTTTTGTTTAGGGCCGCAATTTCGTCTTTGGGTTAATAATATACAGTACAGACTGTGTATAAGCTGTGCTTCTTATTTAGTACATTTCATTCATTCATTGATATGTTCATTCGCATGAAATCACGTCACTAAGAAGTAGAAATTTGAAGTTCGTAATTCCAAAATTGAATTGGCCACCACTTCGATAGAACCATGAAATCCATATAAAACCCATTTTGAAATGTTGATTCTTTAAATAATTAATATAATTAATATTTATACTTATTCAGGCAAAATATTTAAAGAATATATTGCGTCACAGCCTAAATCTGAACCCTGTTCTGTACACATATTAATGTGATTTTACAATATTTAAGTATTAATTTGCAAATGACTGTCGCATGTTTGTCTCGTCCCGTCTACGTTGACTTTTTTTCTGTTTTTCTGTTAAATACCTACGATACAAACTTTTATTCTTGTATTAATAGTTACAAAACCGCAATATTTAATTATTTTTTCATTTTTTTACATAATAAATATGACTCTAAGGAAAAACAATGCGTTTGAGGGCGCTTTCACCACAAAACAATATTACTGAACAACTTTATAAACGACTAGCTACTTTCGCGCCTTTTCACCCGCTGCTCGGCTCCAATTGATCGTAGCATGATGTTTTAGCCTATGGCACCCAGGAACATTGTAGCTATCTATCAGTGAAAGAATTTTGGCAATCCGACCAGCGGTTCCAAAGATTACCCCCACATACAAATTTACATATTTTACCTCACCTATATACCTCTTTATAATATTAGTACAGAAACAATAAGATTAAAGAAATCTATCAGTACTTATATGTAATTAAAAAGTAAAGTTAAAGCAATTTATAAGCAAGTCAAAAAAACATGAATAATACCTAAACCAAAATAAGGTCAAAATTATCATAAAAAGACGAGTTTTTTAACTGTGTAAACAAAACATTGTCAAATTAAGACAAGGCTATAGTAATCAAAAACAATGTTTTAAAATAAAACTTATTCTATGAGTGCGTGTAAAACGCAAATAACTCGTTACTCAGCTGTTAACTATTCGAGCTGGAGTTGTGGGTGCAAGTGCGATAATGCACCGACCCCGGCCAGAAGTAGAAGAAGGAACGGGGGGTTTTTAGTCAGTGTTCGCGCCGAGGGTAATCGGCACTTTATTCTTTAATATTCTATATAAGATTTTTGAGGATACCCTCACATTCGTATTTTCTCTGTCCCCGCTTAATTGTACGCTGTACGACTGCTAACTACTAGTACTGGACGACCCACGGCTGCGTCCGGTTCCGCGTGTGCCCGCTCTTTTACACACTTTAGAGTTGCCACGTGACCGCTTTCTGGCAGCAGTGCATCTTCGCTAGCACGGCTCCAGTTCACTAAATCGAAGGACCGCAAGAATCATCCCCCTCGTACGAGGAATCGCGCCAGGGCAGCTCCGTATTGGAGGTAAGTGGTTGTACAGCGACTTCCTTTATCTCAGAATTCTTTACCGCATTTTCTTACTAAACCTATGGAAATACTTCCCTTGAGTGACCATTCTCTCGAGCGTCAACAGTCAGTAAGAGTCTGACACTCCCTCTCGTCCACCTAGAGCGAAATAAATCATTACAAGATTATCCTCGCTTGAAAAAATTAGACAGTTTATTCTGAAAGTGAATAAAAATTATTTCTTTGTCGTTAATTTATATTCTTCTTTAAAGTTTGTAGTACTTGTTTTAACCGTACACTACACTACCCATGGCCAAATTTATTTTATACATTTCCATCTAAAGGTTGTCTGGAAGAAATCACCTTGTGTGATAAAACCGCCCATTACAATGGGCGGTTTTATCACAATGTTGTGATTACAATCACAACATTCGGTCATTGTATCCAATGTATTGCTACTTGGTGTATGTGTGCAATAAAGTATATATAAATAAATAAATAATAATCTTATAATAATCGATAATATTTTAAACACGTATTTAGGTTAAAATGTTTCAATCAAATAAGAACTTAATATCGTCGTCAGTACGACAGTGGCTTCCGTAGCAACCATTGCTTACTCGGCCGAACATTAAATTAAATAAAAATAAAATGTTTACTACATTACGTTTGAATAAGGTTCAAACTCGCGTAATAACTTTGGGTAATCCATTGAACTGTAGTTCTGAAGTGATAGTTGTTATAACAGGGGGTCCTGGGATACCAGAATTCTATATAGAATTTGCTGAACAACTGCATCGCACTACCCAGAAACCAGTTTGCATTATTGGTAAGCTACTTTTAGTTACAAATTAAACTCAATACCTACATAAACTCAAAGCATGAAACGTCAGAATTGTCTTGCCAGTGTCCCTAGCTGACTTTTACTTGTTCCAATATGGCAATTTGTATGGTTAAGGACAAGAAAAAAGTCCAACTCAATTTTTTAAAATCTTTTAATCTTTTTGTCACAATAAACCATTGCATAAATATGTAGATGTATGTGGAAACACGATTTTATTATAGGAACGATACCTGACTCCGAAGTAGTTAAAAGAAATATAATAGATTTATTCGTTTCGGCTTACACCTTCAGGCTGTATAAGTAAAGGGAATATCCTATTAAATGGCTCTTTAAAATCAGAACTCCGCTATGAGCAAGTGTGGCGATTAGTGCTCATTTCTCTCTCCTTGTCAGAAGGCCTTTGCTTAGCAGTGGGCACTTACAGGCTGATGATAATTATGTACCTCATCATTATTATAAAACCGCGCTTTCTTTTAATAATTAACAGACTCAGAACTCAGAACACTGAATAAAAACAAATTATTTTATGTAACGATCGAGTATCTTGTTCGTTCTTTCCCATACTAATTTACATTTGGAACGAGCACCAAGCTTCACTGACGGATAGTCTCATGGACAATTCAATGTTAATGTTTTAAAAGAAGCAGTTTCGCTACATTCATGCAAATTCCTAGTAAACCTATATGACACATATTCGGTTCATACAAATTACGTTCTTATTACAAATCAGGATCTGGCCATCCAGACATTGTAAAACAAACCCTAAGCTGAAGACAAACGTTTTAACTTATAATCAGCAATTGCAAAAAACGCAACTGCACTTAAACCGAGATTATTTTACACGCATTGAGCAATCATAAGCATAAAACGTTGAGTTAGTAATTCTGTAATTGGATCGCGCTAATATGACGTCAACCATATTTGTCCAATATGGAAATAACGTTGCAAATATTATTGGCGACCAGTTAACATCCTAATCATGACATAATTACATTGTAATTAAGTTCTGTGGTGAATTGCAAATGTAACGTTACGCATAGATTTAATAGAAAGGATAAACAGGGTTCCTAATTAAAAAAGAAAGGTTTTTTGCAAGCTAGTACCTACAGTACATGGTGTGATTAAAACACCTGAACTCGGCACAACAATACAATCACATAAGGAATTAAATGCACAAGTAAACGGACCAGTATCGCTCTGCTACGCAATTAGTAAACGGACCCCCAACCACTGCACCTAACCTATCGATGCAACCGCATAATAACGAGTTCCTTTCAAATTTTCAGGTCACGCCGGCCACGACGTATTCGACAACCAAAACGAAAATAATAATCTCAAAAACACTTGGTCATTATACAACTCTGATGGACAAATAGAACATAAGCTGGACCTTATCAATAACTACATTGATAAGAGAGCGAAGCTGCACCTGATTGGACACTCGATTGGAGCCTGGCTACTCATGGAACTTCTACACAAGAACGACTATCTCCAAAAAAGGATATTGTCCGTAAACTTATTATTTCCAACGCTACAAAAGTTCGCATCAACAAAAAACGGCAAACTTGTAAACAATTTCGTGAGATATCTCCAAAGACTTATATTTTTAATTTTATTTATTATTCAAGTGTTCCCAACAATTAGAATTGTAGCTGTAAAGTTGTATTTGTACTTAAATTCTCTGCCTTCTTATTATGAGAAGCGGGTAATGATGTATCTTAACTCAGCGGTTCAGGAGAAGTCGATGCTGTTAGCTTTTGAGTGTATGGAGAGAATACAGGAGTTAAATATCTCGGCTATTAAGAAAGTGCAGCATATGGCTAATGTATTATACAGCACGGATGATAGATGGGTACCAATGCATCATATACACGATTTACAAAAGTTCACTCCACAGATTGCGCTCCACCAAGTAAACGTTGAACACGCTTTTGTTTTAAAATCTTCGGTTTACGTAGCTGAAATTGTAGGTGATTTGCTTCTTAGGCAAAGTTACGTGTTGGGTCATAAAAAACTCGGTCTAATTAATCAAAATGTGAGTTTTTATAGTTATGAAACTAACTATATAAAGGATAGAAAATAAAAAATACTAGGTAATTTCAGATACAAAATTGTAAGGTTAACCCTATATCGCAAGTTATTAAATTCAGGAGTTTTTTTTTATCTTATGTTCCTAGAAGAACTGATTTTGTAGTGTAGTACTTATGTCTATCACATAGTTATAAAAAGCAATAGTATTTAAATGAACTCAATAGGAAAAAAATATGTCTGTGCTGTTTCTAAGAGATATACATTTTACAAATACCTAGTTAAATATATCTTAATTTATGTATATAATGCAACATATATTAAATAAATCCTAGTGTTAACTGCGTTAGTTGTTTTGATTTCGGTTTGACCTTGTCTTGCACACAACTTGCCGATGGATATGCAAATTGCAACACATAAGTACCTTCATACAACGCTAAGCTGAGCTTAGTTCAACTTAAGACTTTAATTCAAGCTGAAAATCTTAAAACAGACTATGTTACAAGGAACTTTGCGAAGTTTGGACATTTAAAATGAATTAAGAGTAAAATTGTTTTCATTGCAACCAAAGTATGTTGTGTTTTATTGTATAGACTATGTAATATGTATTTTTTTTTATTTAATAGATCGGCAAACGAGCCGACGGATTACTTGATGGTAAGCTATTAGCGCCGCCCATGGAAACCCGCAACGGAGGAGTTACGAGTGCGTTGCCGACCTTTTAGGGATTAGGGATTTGGAGATTTAGGGATTGAGGAGGGATTAGGCGTGGGGAAGGATTGGGTATGTATGTACTTTCAAAAAGCTTTTTAGTTACTAATAATAATCATATGTTGAAATAATATTAGGTACAGATAAAGAAAAAATTAATATCATCGCTTTTCGTCTCAGTAAAAATGTATAAAATTTCATATTTTATATAAACTTAAGACTTTCAATTTTGTGCCAATTAACTGGATACTTGACAAAAATATTTTTTTCCTCTTTTGAATGCAATGTTTAACTAATCTTATACATAAAAAATAAAAATGAATTGCTGTTCGTTAGTCTCGCTAAAACTCGATAACAGCTGGACCATTTTGGATAGTTTTGTTTTTAAAATATTCGATTAAGTCCAGGGAAGGTTTAAAGGGTCAATACATTATATTATGTAGTTATATTTCAGGTGGTACGGAGTTTGCCGGGTCACCTAGTATGAAATAATAATACGCTGCGTGATGCAAAAAAACACAAATAACGCCACAAATCCTAGCGGAATGGGTGTGCAACGTCATGACGCATATTCAAAATTCACAGAGAACTGTCGACATAGACAATTTGAAAAAAGAATTGAATAACGCCTAAATAATCCTGCCAAATTACAACAACTAAATTCAAATTCAAATTCAAATTCAAATTAATTTATTGTTTGTTACATGTTTACAATTAGATGTTATTTTATAAGATTAGAAGCAATGTAACATACCTAGTATAAGGTGTACAATCATTTACGATAATTATTTGAAATTAGGTCTATTCTACTTCAGTATTCTAACATAAGTCGCAAAATTTAATTATTACAGTTAAAAATATGTCAAGTCACATTATGCCACGAAATATTTCTAAATTATTACATAAAATTATTAAATCCTAGTCAAACTATTATTGAAAAATTTTGTTAAACTTTAATTTGATACACAGTGCCTGTTAGTCGGAATATCAGTAATTGTGTATGTATTATTAGTCAAGTTGGGATATTGGTCAAAATACAAACATTGGTCAAATCGTATTAATTAAGTCATCATAGCAAAAATAAAATAAAAAAATATTGAAATTCAAGAAAAATATGTCAGATTATACATAATTAAATGTTTTACATGGAATATTGAACATTTAATCTTTGTCATTAAAAAAATCTTCTATAGTGTAATAGCATTTCTTATGCAAATAACGTTTGAGTTTACTTTTAAACATGTTGAAATGTAAGTCTTGTATGGATTTCGGTATTTTGTTATAAATTTTAGGACCTAAACATATTATGCTTTTGTGCAACAATGCAGTTCTGGACGGATGAATGCAAATATTATCTTTACGTCGATTTCTGACATGATATTCGGATAAGCGCGGAAACAAATGTAAGTTGCTTCTAACAAACAATGCAACTTCAAGTATGAATAAAGACGGAAGTGTTAGAATTTTGTGATCTCTAAATAGCGGTCTACAACTGTCCATATTTTTTATTCCGAACATAGCCCTTAAGCAACGTTTTTGTTGTTTGAAGACTATATCTTTGTGAGTGGAATTACCCCAAAATATAATCCCAAACCTAAGTACCGACTCGACAAGGCCGTAATATGCTGTGAGTAAAGTTTCCCTATTAACAGTAGGTGCCAATTTGTAAAGGGCGTATGCTGACTTGCTGACTTTTTTACTCAGTCCGTCAATATGGTTTTTCCAATTAAGTTGCCTATCAATAATTAAACCCAAGAATCGACTTGTGTCTACTTCCTGTATAGTATATTCGTTATACATTAGATTAATTGGTAATGAATTTGGTATATTTTCCCGCTGTCTAAAGTGCATTATACTAGTCTATAAAATAACAGATAAAGCAAGTATATGATAAATAAATAAATAAACAAACATATTTATTGCCAGATGAATAAAACTGTTCGATAAAATTGTGTCGCAACAGGTCCCTTCGAAGAGAGCATATTGTCAATTTCCCATATTGTGAAGTTCCAAACAACAATTGAATCGGGGGTCTCGACGTCTCGCCTTCAATCGGATCTGAAGGACTTTATCTGCGATATAAAACAGAGGTAGTTCTGTCACGTAAATCTTATACCTATGTACGATCTGATCCAATATATTGCCAGTATATAAATTGGTTGTGCAGCTATATTTTTGTAGGTGTAACCTTTTTTCGATTGATTCTTGAATAGATGTCTTGTTGTTTTATTTTAAAGAAGTAACTGAACTGGAAAGTGGTTTTTACAATTTTACATTCGTAGCTTCAAGCTTTTTTTGTCCGATGGGGTTAATAAGAGGTACACTATCACTATTTTTATGGGGTAAATGCTTTACTACGGACCGTTTATAAATCCAGTCAAGACTGTGCTATAATTACCTACATACGTACATAAATACATATATACATACATACATACACACAAAATAAATACATACATACATATGTATGCCTTTATTTCATAAAATTATTTTTATTAAAACAGTTTTGTACGCAAAAAAATGCCTAACATTAATATTGATGATTGACTAATGGACGATATACATATTAAAAAAATATATTGCCTAATTTGAAATTAAAATATCAATGACTCAAAAACTATAGCCCAAATATAGAAATCAAGACTTTTCTCTTCTGAGATCTTGCTTTCGTCATCTAGAGAAATTTCCTTAAACATTTGACTGCCGACAAAAACTGTTGAAGGCCAACCCTCCGCTACCGTCAGACGATATTGTCCGACATGGCGTTCTAAGTGTTAACCAATGAACACCAACCCGATAGGTAGCCAAAGGTTCTGTTTTTTAACCGACTTCCATAAAGGAGGATGGTTCTCAATTCGACCGTATATATCCTTTTTTATGTTTGTTCGCAGATATCTCCGTTATTTTTTATGTGATATGATGATTATGTGATTGTGTACAAACAATCACACTTATTACCTGATGGTAGGCAAGTCCGAGTTACGACTTTGCCGACCTTTTGGGGATTTAGGGATTGGAGGAGGGTAAGGATTGGGCCTCCGGTAACGGCACTCACACAGCGAAACACAAAGCTGTGGTTGCTTTACACCGGTTTTCTATCACTCAGGTGCAACTGGCCTATTCGTACCGAAGCATAGCTCTCCCACACTTAACACCATTAAGAATAATTGCCACGTTTCAGGTAAGAATTGGGCCTCCGGTAACGGCACTCACACAGCGAAACACAAAGCTGTAGTTGCTTTACAGCGGTTTTCTAACACTCAAGTCGAGCTGACCTATTCGTGCCGAAGCATGGCTCTCCCACACTTACCACTACCACCATTAAGTATAATTGGCAAGTTTCATAATGATACAGCAATTATAAATGTGTGTTATCCAGATTCTTAGTTTGTTACAGGTAATAAAATCCTTTTAAACTTTACTATGGTAATCTAAATCTTAAAATATTAGTTTATATGTTTTTTCTTACGATGTCAACTTATTCTCCGAAACGACTGGTTCGAATTCAACAGAACTATTCTCCTTGATTTAAATAGAACATCTACAGGCTACAACACAAAGGGAAGCGAGTAGCAGAATAGTAGATAGTAGTAGAAGTAGCTGGGATAATCTGGATTATAGAGGATATTGTAAAGGAGGCATAGAATGTAATTTACATAACATTCATCAATTAGGTATAATAGCCAAATAACACCGGAATAAAAACTCACACACTAACGAAACTCAGCTAATCACTTCCCTAACATTTTCCCCTGTACCTAACCTTAACTCCTAGTAAATCTAGTGCTTGTCTCAAACAGCTGTGAGAGCTAGAATCAATAATGAATATACTATTGAATTGTCCAGTACCACGTGCTTAAAGCAAGCTAGTTGTTGGTATTCGACAGCGACAACGTATTTTATTATACTTGTATTTCAAATTTAGTTCCGTAATTATCCACTAGAGGCGCTTTACATTCTCGCTTTCTACTCTTACTTACTGTTGGCTCTTCGTCGCTCGCTGAACGCTACACGCTGCCTTTTTTTGTCAGGGGTAAATCATCACAAGACCTCCCGCCCAGGGTAAGGCGAGAGAGTCAGACTCTTACTGACTTAAACCCCCCGTTCCTTCTCCTGCTTTATGCCGTGGCTGCGGTGCCCCATTGCGCTTACCCTGCAACCGCATCAGCACTATAGGGCCCCGTCTGTGGTGGTCTATTTGCTCGGGTCTGGTTCTGGTCGAGCGGCGAGCTACCCTTACTCGCCGTCGGCAGACCCGCGCTTACGGTGGCCGGAGATCATCTCTCGGCTACACGCTGCCTGGAGCAGGAGAACGAACGGAATGCTTTTTAGTCATTAACAGTCAAACTATGGCTCCTTCTCACCCTGCCTACAGTGGGAGAAATCATTTGAAATTTCCACCTTCAAAAAACAAACCTTGCTTTGACTGCTAGTAATTTCCAGCTACACAGAAGGAAGAAAAAGAAGGAGGTGCTCTTTCACCGCACTCATTTCTTGATTTCCTCCAGATGTTTTTTGGGAAGAACGATCTTTTGTCTCATGGTAGAGGTTGCATGTTCTAGTTGGTGGATGCTCGCTTACATATCGCAATGGATATGCTAATGCTGTATGTTCTGAGCCGATTACACGTAAACCCTCTTGCTGGGCCGTCTTGATTGTTCGCAAGCTTCCTGCTCTAGCCAACACTTGACTGTTTGCTGTATGTTTATGTTAACGGAGCCTAATAGTTATTTATTTAAGAAAATATAGCAACTAAATCATTTTAGATATTGGTAACTACGTAGTTGATCAATGTAAGTCAAAAAATGTCATCATCATCATCAGCCTAAAAACCTAAAAGCTATCCACAGCTGAGCAAAAACCTCTTCCCACAAGGATAATGAACGTTAATCACCACGGGGCACGGTTCCTCGTCTTGAGCTCGTCTTTGCTCGTGTTGGTGATTTTAAACAGTAATGTTAAAATAACCTTAAAAAGTAAGAATAATTCTAAAAATGTAACATTGGTACGTAGC